CCTCCTGCAACGCCCCCCTCGGGATGCAATCCGGCAAGATCAAGGACAGCCAGATCTCCGCCTCCTCCTCCTACGACGTCTCCGTCACGGGGCCCTCCTCGGCCAGGTGAGTTGCAGGCGTTCTTGTCCTCAAAGTTGATGATAACTTTTGCGTACAAGATTAGTTTTGGTTATTTTATGCAAAGGTGAGAACTTATTATTTCCAGTGATCGTTAACCTTTTTATAATCATTATTATCGCTTTGATGGTGATAGCTATAGTTATTTTCATAACTTCATATTTACTCCCCTGTATACCATCCGCCCTTTTCCAAAATAATGATTCCCCGAGGCTTGACATCGTGCAGTTAACAAAGGGCTCGCTTCATGTGTGGAATCTTTGCGTTATACATCACTGAGTTTTTGGATTGGTAACATCTTAGTTCAGATTTTGTTAATAATAGTTAACAAGATGTGATTCGATTATTGTACAACTAATAGAAAAGATAATTACACTGATAAGAAAGAAATCTCAAAGGAGAAAAGAAAAAAATATAGAACACGTTTTTAAGCGCTCTACGTCCACACAGTTCAAATTCCGTTGATGTTTTAAAGTGCAGATTAACATCAAGAGTAGATTAGCATTTTAAAGTACCATTAAGATCACTTACGAGCGTCGGGCGAGCAAGTGGAAAGGGTCCCCGGAAGCCCGAGAGTAAACCCCAAGAAAGTAAACAAGCGAGTGCATCTTCTTGAGCGAGGGCACCCGGCCTCAAACTTGAAGCCTCGGCTGTTCCGCTCGGTTAAGCTAGATTACTTGCGAGGGGTTGCAGAAAGTCAAGATGATCCTAGCCTATAAGTTTAGGGGTCTAATTGACCTTGCGCGTATTACAAACTCCAAAAGCCCTTCTCACTCTCTCGCTATCTTGCTCTCTCTCTCTCTCTCTCTTCTCTCTTCTTACCCTCCCTCCCTCCCTCTTTCCCGTTTATGCCTCCCCCCTCCTTCTCCCGTCTCCTCTCCCATCTTCCCCCTCCCCTCTGCATGGCCCCTCCCCCCTCCCAAACGCAATTAGTTTGGAGCAAGTTGTAGATTACACGCTAGGCGGCCATACTCGCAGATTAATCTTATTTGTTAGGGGTAACTGAGCCAAAGTGAGACGGGTCGGCCCACCTGCGAGAAATTTAACTTGCGGTGATTTGCTTTTTCAATTTTTTTTTTTCCGGTTATGTCTTTGCTCTATTTGTTTTTCTCCATTGAATTGTGGAGGGATATTACAGTAAATGTAACCGTGCGGTGTGTATATATATATGTGTGTATATATATTTTTTTTATTGATAAAAACTAATGTAAGTTGATTGATAAGTATCTTGTTTAACACGCGTATACTCATGTTCGAATACTTTCAATTAGAAAATAAAACGATAAAGATCTAGTAATTGTTTATAAATGTATATACTTCCCGGTATGATTGGTGTATTCATTTATAAAAAAAAATCGTTTTAGAAAAGGTTTCGTGTGATTTATATTACTTTTTGAAACACGATGAGTAAGAGTTCCTCGGGGTTCAGATGCTCCCACGACAAGAGTCAGCGCGTTGAGGGGCATAAATTTGTCAGCCGTCGTCCCGGCACGAAGATGGTGATGAAAGAGCTGCTGTTGCGTAAATTCGCGACATAAATCTACGGTGGCGGTTTGCCAGTTTTCAATACTGCACAACTGATTTTTTTTCTTTCTTTCTCTTTTTTGCGGAGAGTTAGCCGTATTTACATTAGTTCGGTAAAACACATGTCCCCACACGCATACACGCACACGCCCGTGCGTACTTCTTCCTTCTTCTCTTTACTTTCCGCCACCATTTCTTCCTTTTCTCCTCGGCCTCATCCGCCCACACCACGCCATGCAACTGAGCCCACGATCGAACTTTGATCTCCATGGGCGTGTGGGCTGCTGATGATAGCTTAATGATTAATTCAACAGTGGTCTTGTTCTCGTTAAATCAATCACGTCGTTAGTGATGGCGAGACGTCAGTCCTCTTCCAGGGTGATACATGACCCTGCTTCCGAAATCCCTCAATGGATACTTGGGTAAGGCAAAGGGGGGTAGGGGAACGGGAAAGGGGTAAAAGGGGGTATGGAGATATCTTTCTGGATTGGTCGATTGGTTTATAAGTACTAGGTTATGGAATGGTGGGTTGATCTTCAGAAATGGATTGGTGTGTTGGCTTCAGGATATGTAGGCCTGTGTGTAGACTGAATAATGTGGATTGCTCGACTGTTTTGAGGCAGTAGGATGTGGGTTTGTATGTAGATTAGATACTGTGGGTTGGTGTGTTGGCTGTAGGATGTAGACGGATAGAGAGACGAGCATTAAAATGTGTCGAGCGATTTAGAGTGATCCAGTATTTCCAAAGAGACAGTCTTGGTATCGAAATGCCTAGATTTGTAGAGTCAAAGCCAGATTTGAAATAAGACGAAAATAAATCAATAAGCCCATATGTAATAACTACCGGGGGATGATCTGGGCAGCAAAGAAATATTGAAGGTAATTTATTTATCAAGATTTATTTATATCCATACACACACACACACACACACACACACACACACACACACACACACACACACACACACACACACACACACACACACACACACATACACACACACATACACACACACACACACACACACACACATACACACACACACATACACACACACATACATGTAAGTTTCAGTTGATATTTATTTGATTAATCGTGTGTGCATGTACGTGTATGTCTACGTGTACATATGCGTGGACGTGCGCGTAGTTGCGTTCGGAAATTGTTATTTGTAAGTCACTCTAAGATCCTCGCGAGCAGAAGGAGGCTCACCTTTCACACAACTTGACCAAGTTTGGAAATCCGGCTCAGCGTCAGGATTCCTTTTTGTGCTCGTCGCTAAGAGCAGGGGCGTCGGCAAGGTATATTTTCTTGGCTTTATTTTCATATCCTACGAGCAGCATTGTTATTTGCCATTATCAGTTATTGTTACTCGTTGTCTGTTTTATTGTTAATATCAAAAGTATTGTTATTAGCATTATTGCTATTTCTTTTCATCAGCATTATTTCCATTTCTTGTCATCAGCATTATTGTTATTTCTTGTCATTGGGATTATTGTTATTTCTTGTCATCACCACTGCCATTATTATTACCATGATGGTATCATGATGATCGAATTCGAATTGTGTAGGTAGTTAAAGTGGCAGTATGCTGTAATGGCACAAGGATACTATATCGATGTAATGGTCATATGAAAAATACTCAGATTTTGCAGATATGATATGATAAGATGCAGCAGCGGTTATATCAAATACCAATATGATAAACTGACCGAGGCAGACGGATGATGACCGGCGAATTCTTGAGCCGTTGAGCAAACCGCCAGACGCCGCCGTTACTGCCCCGGGGCACGCCGACACCGGGGGATGCAGCGGACCCACGAAGCGGAAAGAAAACGAAGTCTTGGAAGAATCATAAATGCAAATTGAATAAAAGAATGAGCGGGGAAGGAGGAGGCGGCCGAAGCCCCGTGGCGGGTGTGGGCGCGCGCGTAAACATCGCTGTTTATGGACACCAGACTTCCTTCCCGCGCGGCGCCCCTCTCCTTCTCCGCTCTTATTTTCCCCTTCGGATTTTTCTGTTTCCTTTTTCCCACTTCTCCCTTTTCATTTCATTTTCAAGTCGCCATTCTCTCTCCTACACTCTTATTTTCCGTTTTTTTTTCTTTCTTTTCGTCCCCTTTTCTCTCCTCTCCTTCTCTTCTATCTCCTGCTCTCGTATTTGCCATGCTGTTCTACTTATTTCTCTCCTTCCTTCTTATTTTCCTTCTGATATTCCCCGTCACTTCCCCCATCTCTCACCTTGCATTTTCACCTCTTCTCCTCCCCTCACATTTCCCGTTATCCTTTTCCCTTTCCACCTTCCCTCACCTCCTTCTCTCCCCTCCCCCACGTGTTCTCGACCATTCAACTGAGGGACAATATGACCCTTTCTTATCTCTTCCCCCCCCCCCTCTCCCCTCTTCCACTTTCCAGCGGGCCCTACCCTACCCCTCGCCCCTCTCCCCTCCCGCTCTCGTCTTGTGTCCATTTTGAGACACCATATATGATTTTGATAATACCGGGAGCCATTCACCAAAATCTCCTTAGTATTCACTTGTATTTGTCGGTCGAAGGGGCGTAAATACGCGGAAGTAAATGCAGGGGGAAACAGACCTTCCGGACAGAGGGCAGTAGACCCAATATGGCTCTGCCTCGCGCGCCGTGAGTTGCGCCCGCCACGCGACGATAAAGTTTGGAGGTACACTCTTGCCAAGTATTGAGAAAGGAACATTGTAGACAACCGCGGGCGAGAGAGGCGTGGCGTTTTTGGATGGGGAGTTAACGAACTCCTTCTTTCGGCTTTCCGCGAAGACGCCACTCGCTCCTTGCGGGAGGTAATGATGCTTCCCCTCCGCTGCCCCCTGACCAAATCCCCTTAAACCCCTCCCCCCTAGCCTAAACCCCCTCGACCCCTCCCCCCCGCACCAGATTCCCCTTGACCCCTCCCTCTATGCTTCACGCCCTCCCTCCGTCGTGGCATCTACCTTTGTCACACGTGTCTGTCATAGTGGAATTTGCCTAATTACTAGGACTGGTTATGCACGAAAGTTACTTTCTTATGAATCTTAAGGCAGTTAGCAATGGGGTCAGGGTATGCTTAGGGATGTGTGTAAGGGTGAGGGGAAGCGAAGGATGCGACTCAGCTCCAGGTCTTAGCCTTTCTACCTGCGCCCTGAAATCCAGCGTATTTGTCTCCCTTTATATTCGCGGCCTGACCGTTTTCCTGGATTCTGTTTCCACCCTTATTCTTAATCAGCCTACAGGAATGAGAGTTTGTACAGCCTCCCCATCGCCCCCATTACTCTCTTCCTTCCCCATATATTTTCCCTCCCTTAATTACTACACAAAAGTCTTATAAGATTTCCTCCTTAGGCCGCTATTACGTTGACAAACGCTTTGTTCAGACAGACAGACAGACAGACATGCAGACAGACAGACAGACATGCAGACAGACAGACAGACAGACAGACATGCAGACAGA